TCCTTTACCACTGGTTCTCACTCCCTCTTGTTTGTCACTCATCTTTGCGGCCATGTGCACTACTCTGACCCTGGCCCAAACTTTTTTATTTGAATGTTAGACAATATTAAGATAATGTATGATAGCAGATTTGATTTTAGCAGTGTGAAGGAAGGGAGGAAAAAGGGTCCTGTTATAGTCAGAGTCAGCATCTGTTGGTTTAAGATTAGGTATATAAATTTCTAGGGAAACAAACACACTGGATTTGATACCTGGAGCCTTAGAGACTGACTTCTACCTGAAGTAAAGGTTTTTATTTGTAGCGTTAAATCTTCAGTTATATACAGCAGTCATGTATAAAAGCACTGAACAAGAACATATTGTAGGCCAAAGGGAGGAGGATGTGTACTGAGGAGTAGGAATGAAATACAAAAAGGGAGGTAGAGGCAGGTCTGCTTTACCTGAGCCTTGGGAAAGGAGAAAAATAGCCACAAGAATTGGAGATGAAAATAGTTTGCTACATTTCCCTCCCTCATATAGTGGAATTTTCCAGTTTTCTTTAGGAGAAAAATGAAGTTTCTCAATCTGTTTCAGATCTCAGCATCACTCATGTAAGTCTGGAGCTGTTCCTTCAGCTGAGCAGTCAGCTTTATACAGATTAACTGAGAAAGGAATTTAGTCCTAGGTCTGATATTTTGGTTTCTGTTTATAGGTGTAAAATCTCCCCTGAAAGTAAGGCACATGTTTGGAGACTTACTCCTCCTTTACACTTGCTTAACTTTTTGGTATTAACTTTTTGGTCTTTATCAGTCACTACCTTTTGTTAGTTGTGAGCATTATCATGTTTGGATAGTGGGGTAGTTAATTTATTTTGTAACCAAGAGGCTTTGTTAATAGGCAATATTGCAAAGAAATGAAACACGTTTCCCTTTTAAATAATCTCCTTTTCTTAAAAATATCTAATACAATAAAAGGTCTGAAAGCTTAATCAGACCTTAATCAGTACAGCATTACTGAAACCATCTTTCAAAATCTTTTAGCATTTTTCACTGTTCCTACTACTGTTCAATCTACCATCTCCAGTTTACAAGAAATAATTTCAAAAGTATTGAGTCTTTTAATTCTTTTTTTTGGGGGGGATTAGGATTATTGTTTGATAACACATTATACTGCAGTCTAAATCTGTTGGGATTTTTGGAAGGATCTTATCTTTTGGTTGTGCAATAAATGGACTTTGTTTTCATGGTATCACAGAGTCAGGATACTTAGTTGCTTATTTATATATTTCCTTAATATTAAGACTTGCTAAAACATGTTAGAAAACTGCATTGTCTAATTAATTTTTTATTGACAGATGTGAATGGATCACATTCCATTATTCTTTTTGGCAAAGAGTGGCTTTATGTTTTTAAGTGAAAATATTAGGAAGACTATTACAAGAGGATGCGTGCTGAAAATGTAAACCCAACTATTTACTTTTGGTTGTGTGTTTTTGATTAATTTTCATGTTGTGTGACAGTGCCCTAGGGTCCGTGAACTCTTCTTACTTTCTTCATGACAATGAAAAACTTTAGAGGCAGCATTACAGTGAAGGAGAATGGAAGAGTTGTAGAAGAGCACTCTTGAGTCTTGAGTTGTTAAAGAGATTTGCCTGCCATCTTTTGTGCTCACATACACTATAGGGCTGTAGCTGACAGGGAGGTGGCTAATGCATATCTTCATGCTCCAGCATACTCCAGTCAATGGAACAGCTTTTGTCAGTGATAGACTTGCAAGTTTATGATGGGAAGCAGCCTTGCAGCCAGATGGTTTTGGGCATATGTGTTTATGAATAAGTGGCTTTAAGTCACTTTGCCTCCTTTGGAGCTGTGCTGAGCACAGCTTAGATTCAGACAGCTGTGTTTTCAGTGTCATCCTCCTTTTCTGTTCTGTGGCTTGCATCTCTGTTCTGTTTGCTTTGGTTTTACTACTAAATGTACAGGCAAAGGGGTGGCTAATACTCCAGCCTGGAGAATTACAGTGAATGAGAGCATGTATTCTGCCCCTCTGCAAGCTGCTTAAGACTTAGATATGCATCCCCAGGAGGAAAAATGGATGCTATTCCTGCTTGTTCCATCCTTAGAATAGACAAGTAGGGTATGTATAGATCTTTGGCTCCTATTTTACTACTTCCTGATATGTATTTGATGCTGATATGTCTTTTCCTTTTTAAGCTGAATGCCTGTCAATGGAAGAGGAAGTGAGGCTCATCATCTGGTAATGAAAGTTCAGGCAGGGTGAGAAGCTATCCAAACTACCTTTGGAGTCAGCAGCTGGGGTGGCAGTATAACTTTGCAGCAGAGCTGGGAGTGGTTGGGTCTGGCAGAGTTCTCAATATAAAGGCTGTACACATAGAGATCTGTAAAGATCTGTAAAAACACGAGTGGCTTGGGGAGAGTGAAGTGGGGAACAGTAATGCACTGTGTCTTCTAATGCTAGAAGTAGGAAGCAGCAGATGAAACCAGCAAACAGGCAGGTATTTGGAACAGGTATCACACAACAGATCACTGAAGTGAGAAATGCTTTTTCATAAGGTGTTGCAAATGCTGATTTGTTCAGAAAGCAACCAGCCGAATTCACAGAAGATAACTATTAAATGCAAGGATACTAATCTGCTTAGGATTTCTGGTGCTGTGAAGTGCTGGGTGATGGAAGAGCAGTTGTGGGAGGTACCACTGTATGCTTTTCTTGTTTTATACTGTTTCCAGGTGTTTGCTACTGGTTATTATTGAAAAAAATATATATGAGGCTAGGAATAAGAGGATATTTGATGAGACCTGGTTCAGAAGCCTTTTGCTCTCGTGCCTTTGGAAAGCACACTCAGATTTGAGATTGCTATGTTGGTTTACTACTGAAAGCCTATGTTGATACACACTGTCACTTAGGACTACTTTTTGTGTGTATGTTTGATAACACTCCTAGTTTTATGTGGTGTTTATGCTCTTGATGCAACTTTCATGAAATAATGACAAAATTGATGATTAGGCTGTATGGTACAAGGATCATACCAAGACATTGTGTTTCTTATTGTGTATTCTTATTTCATGGTAAAGGTTAGGATTGCTTTTGTTTTCATTGAGAGCTAAACATGTTAGATTAGAGGATAATAAATTTTTAACTGAGTGACAAGCCACATTTGTACCTCCCAATCCATGTGTTGGGAGGAAAAAAACTGAACAAAACCAAACCCTAAAGAAAAGGCAGAAGCATTTAAACTCTGCAGTCTTTCTGAACACAAAATGTAGAAGTCAAATATAATGTCTAATGGTAGAGTGGTAAACAGGATTATTGCCTGGATGAATCCTCAAGTATTCCACCCATTTTCTTTTGCTCTGTAATGATTCTAACAGCATCTCTCAGAAGGACCAATATATGCAGCATTTTCTAGTATTGCTTAAAATGTGGATTGTATATCTATTGTTATTTATTTACCTTGTCCCACTTTTCTTTATTCCCATTTTAGCTTTCTAATTTGCAATTCAGCTTCTTTAGCCTTGGAAGCTATTGAATGTTTCCCTGTGCCTTAAATGATTCTGTATTTTTAGACAAAATGGAAATACAGTGTGCTATAGGGGCAGCCTGTATAATATTGTCTTTTTTCTGAGTTAGTCTCATGACATTGTTAAGACTCAGCACTGCATTTAAAGAGTCAGTGCTCTCATTTAGCCTTCTTAGTCTGTGATTAAATGGGAGTTGTTGTTTTTTCACTGTAAGTTGGCTGACAAAAGCTAAATCTGTCACAGGTGCTACAATTTGTGTATCAGAAAATTTGCTTTCCAAATACTAATTATTCCCAAAGTATCTTACTTCACACAAAGCACGGATAACACAGTCAGCAAATTTGTCCTAGTTTTATCATTGTGCAGTAAATTAGGGTTTGTCTTCTACCATTGTGTAAAGTGAAGATGGTAGAAATTCAATTGTAGGAGAACCAGTTGATGTACAACCTCTGATCTGTGTTTTTCACTTAATTCTCCCAATCAAATGCTTGAAATGTATATTTTAAAATAATCACTGCTGAATTTCACTTTTGTAACTGAATGAACTGTTGTCAAGGGACATGGGATAGTGAGAAACAACAGTGTTGTCTCTACAGAAGTCATTTTAAAAAGCAAGTATTTTATGCGTGAAAGACCTACACCCAAGCTGGTAGTATGCTTAAACTATTAATTTTGGAAGTTACTGTAAGATGATGGAAGCTTATTGAGAATTATCTTTCTTGGTGTTATGGGAGAAGAATGGACCTTCAGCTAGTGAAACTGTGGCAGAATAAGTGAAAGCATTCAGTTTAGAACCTCCTCAGACTCTGAGCCACAGGTGGCTTAAAAAAACACACGTGTAAGTTCCTGTGCACAAGCATGGAGTTGGATTCCTGTCATATGTCCTCCACTGCTCCCTGTTGTGGAGAGCCTTTGTGATAACCTCTTGCAGCCCTAGTTGCCAGCATTATGTGTTTTGACACTGAGGGGCCAGGATCTCCCTAGATAAGAGTTTGGAGTTCAGATGGACTATTGCTCAGTTAAATCTTCTGTAATGAATCCAACTGTCATTCAAGTGCACAAATTTTTGACACTAGACAAAGCAGAATGACCAGCTAAAATAGCAACTGGAACTGTATTTTAGCAGCTTCTCCTTTCATTGCTGAAAATTACCTAGGAACCTTTCCCAAGATTAGACATGTATTCTAAATATATATTTTGAAGATATTTAGCTTTATATTATATATATTAAAGATATTTAGCTTATAAAATGACTTACACAGAAAAGGAAGAGCATTTAATTTTTAGCAACAATTTTTGCATTGCAAAGTAGCTTAAGAAACTGTTTATTTATTCCCTTAGGATAAACATATTGTGTATTTCTAGATTTCTAACAAATGCAAACATTGATGTGATTTAACTCCTAATAGCAGTGTTGCACAGCTCTAGTTGTTTGGCCTATGTATTTTAATACTGATTTTTATTTTTATTTTATTTTTGTAGGACTATTTAACCATTCACAAGTATGGCAATGCAGCCAGAAATGATCTCTGGAACACATTGTCAAAGGTAAAATGCTTTAATCTATTGCACTGAGGGAGAAACAGGAATTTGCTGTGGTGTTTTTCTTGGTGAGATCAGGAGTGAATAGTGCATACTGAGATCTTCAAACCACAGAGCAAATATCAAAACTGATGCAAAGAAATTTCATTTGAGTTAAACTAGGAAACCATATTAAAAATATGAGATCTGCAGCATTTCTATTCTTTGTTATGTTAGAATATATGAAATACATGAAAGTGCTGAGCTTTGGCATTTCCATCACATGTGTCTGTGATTTTGTCCGGAGTTAAGATTTTTGTGAAGGACAAAAATATTAAAGCTTCAAAGTATGATGTAAACAGAGAACTATTTACTGTAATATTTGGCATGCTGTAGAGACTTATATATCCAGGCTTGGCTTGAGTTCTAGAACCTGGTCTAGTGCTCCACAATGGCTCATCATTTGTAAGATGAGCAAAGTGTCCCTGAATTTCTCCCCTATGGGACTAGTCTGAGCTAGTCTGAGTCTTCCCCAGAAATAGACTGAGTGGAGGACAGTGTGGAGTACAGTCAGAGAGTTTTGGCACAGGTACCAGTTCAAGCCATACAAAACATGACAATCTAGTTTTAACTACTGACGCCAAAACTAAGATGTAGCTGGAGGTCAAGACATCTAGACAAACAGGTATATACATGTAAACTAGATGTCCAAGATCCTGTTCTTCTCACTGAGTCTTCAGTTGCTGATTCACAGACTTTTAACAGCTTTTACCTTAATTTATCCTACCTGGCTTCCAGCTGCCACCTGAGAAGCACGTCTGTTGTAGATACAGCGGTTCTGAAAGAATGCGTTGAGTATTTCAGGACATGTCATTTGACACTGGTGAACAGGAACAACTGGAGTTCCAGAAATCTAGTCAATATAGTCAGCAGAGCTTAGAGAGAAATTCAGTTGGCTAGCCACTACATGATTATTTTATAATAAGCCTGAACCACTGACTGTTGACTAGAGACTTGAGATAATTGTTCAAATATAGGCAACTAGTGCCAGATTAGGAGCAGTAGGATGTTTAAGACATTCATGTGTGTCTAACCAATTTAGCATCAGATATATGGGGAAATTTTTGCTCTTCTGAGTGGCTGGTAAAGGTCAAATGTCATTATTCACGTACATGTGGGCAACTGAACCAAGTCCTATGTCTGTACTGACTGCTAATGAGAGTTGAGACAAGTAACATACAGTCAGGCTTTTAAATCTGTGTCTTAATCTGTAGCTGAATGTCACCACAAGAAATCTTTCTTTCCAGCCTCTGTTAAAGCCTCTGGGACAGTTCTGGGCCATGGGAGGTCAGAGGAATGAATGTTGCCTTGAAAGAACAGCAGAATCTGCAGCTAATGAAGTGGAACAAAAATAAGACTGTATTCTGGTCCATAACCACTGTAGCTATACTGTATGCTCATATCTACTGTTGCAGCTAATAATTCTCTTTGCCTCAGTTGTAAATGCATTTGTTGCCAGCCCCTTTGTTCCTAGGGCAGTGCAACTGCAGCTTCAGTTCTGAAGACATCTTCTGCTTGTATTCATCAGAGATTGCTCAGTCTGTGATCTTGGACTGTTCGACAGCTAGGAGCACGTCTGTCGCTGCAGAACAAATGATGCCTCTTTCTCCTCATATGCAGTCTCATCTCCCATGATGCTGTAGTATCTCTTTGTGTTTCAGACGAAAATCCACTTGTAAAACAGCATTTTTATTGACATATGGAATCAAATATGAACACATTAATCCTCCATGTGTTCTAACAGGTGCAGTTTATGAAGCAGCAGGGGATATCTTGGTATACATAGCCTCACTTTGCATATTAGGGACAGTATTTTCAAATAACTAGTCATTTTGATTTTCAGAACAGAGAAGCCCTATATTTTTAGAAATTAAGGCCCTTCAAATATGCCTTATTATAAGTGCCTAGATCAACTAACATTGTGTCTTTTTTAACCTTAGCTGGTTAAGAATAGCTACCCCATATTTCTGTGGCTCTTGTTAAAATCCTGTAAAGCAGGTTATTTCTTCTTTTTCAGCAGAAGTACTTGAATGATGTGGAAAACATGACTTTCTGACTGTCACTCTCCTCTCTGTTAAGATTACTCAACATTTATTTTAAAGATACACAGAGCCTTAAGTTCAATTATGTAGTGTCTGTGTGTTGAGTGTAAGAGTGTGTGTGTGTGTATCTGCATACATGTGTGATGGTTATTTTACCCTCCAAAAACAGTTTTGATCCTGGGACAAAAAAAAAAAAAAAAGGTTTTACATATTGTTACTGCTTCAGTGTATTGAAACTTTTCTTTTTTTTTCCAAGGCTTTAAAAAGGGTTGGAAAATCTGTAAATATCCAAGAGGTAATGGATCAGTGGACACTACAGATGGGTTATCCTGTTATCACTATCTTGGGAAATGAAACTACAGACAACATCATAGTCATCTCCCAGGAGCGTTTTGTTTATGATAGTGATACTAAACCCAAGGATCCTGCCCGTGGGGACAACAGGTACTTGTATTTCTCAATTGCTATCTTTCAAGATGCTGTAGTTGTTTAAGTAAGTATTTTATATGTGTAGTTTTATGCAAATGTTTTTTTTTTAGAAATCTGAGCTTTGCTTGGGATCAATAGCGTGTGGTGATACTTTAATTTGAATTGTAATAAAGTTGAGGCTAATTAAAAGAATTGGAGAAAAATGCCCAATTGCATCCTGACAATTCTCTGTGGCAGTGTCTTGCATCACTCATCTATTTCCTCCTCTTTTCTTTTGATTTTGTCACATTCCATGAAGTAATTTGGAATGTGATTGGTAGGTCTGATAGTTCTTAAGAAATTTTGTGGAGTGGACCTCTTGACACTCATACACTGAGTAGGCAGATGTAAATATGTATCAGGTAAAGACCTTGCTTGACTTGGGAAGGAGTCAGGAGCTGAACTGGACCTCTGTAGAAGGCAGAGGGTTCCAGCTCTTTCATTTTTGGAGGCAGCTGAACTGTTTCACTGTCTGAAATCAGCATCTCTGTCTCTACCCCTTTTCCATTTATTAGATTGTTTTGTTCCTCCTCCCATCTGACTCTATATGCTTCCTTCATCCCAAAGACAAGATAACATTCCTGCCTGATCCTGGGGAATCCTCATTGTTTCAAACAGTTTTGGCATCATATTTTAAGGCCAAGAATAGCTCTTGCTAGCTGATGCTAGAGAATTTCAAGGTGGCCTTTGAAGTTTCTGTGTTGACCTGTTCATGCTCAGTGTGAAAGAGGCCACACTATTAACCTGGAATATTCTGTGTTAGTCCAGTAGATTTAAATTGTTGAAAAATAAAATTTAATACAAAATTTTGATTGACATATCCAGAGCTTGTAGAATATTCCTGTTGAGGAAGGCCTAAAATGATACTAACATTTACTGGAAAGTGTTTAGAAGTTCATTATCTTTTTCTAGAACATGAATACTATGGAATTCAAACATGACACAGAGTAAATAGTTGTTTTTCTAGCTGTATTGGAACAACCTAACAGGGCATTAAGCATCTGTCTAAATTCTGGGCTGAAATTAGTTCCTTTGTGAAAAAGAGATTAAACAACTGAATGTGGACTATTGGAAGTGTTCATGACTCACAGCTCTGCAGCAGGAGAGAAATTCTCCCTCTCTTGAAAATTTCTTTTGTGCAAGTTTATATATGTGTAATGTAATGTGAGTGGATTTTCCTACTCAGAACAGCAATTATTATTTTTTTTATTTACTAAAACGGATATGTTAAGCCTTCTAAGTATTGTAGAGACTTTTAAAAATAGATTTTCTAGGTATTCGATATTGATTGAAGTAAGTGTTACTGTAATGCATGAGTAAAGACTACTGGGTGTGTAAATGGTACCAGGGTGATATGGTGAGTTGACTCAGGCTGGATGTCACCACAATGACTGACAGGGCTTGGCCTTGGCCAGCAGTGGGTCTCTCCTGGGGCTGGCATTGGCTTTGCTGAACATGGGGGAAGCTCCTGTTAGCTTCTCACAGAAGCCACCCCTGTAACACACCAAAACCTTGCCATGCAAACCCAATACAGGTGAGAATTAGACTTAGTTTTATTTTCATACATGACATTAATTTGTAATTCAAACTGTATGCTGTCATATGTGGAATGGCCAGGGCAATACCACCAAGTCCTATGTCTGTACTGACTGCTAATGAGAGTTGAGACAAGTAACATACAGTCAGGGTATGCCAGGGCAAATTCTGCTGGGTTTCTTAGGAGATTTTATTCACAGATTTTATTACAATTCTTGTTTCTAAACATCAGAAATAAGATTTAGTACTAGAGAGAGCACAGAGAAAGACATCCATGTGAGCCCTGCTAGGAATTTAGTATCCTAACAGTCAGTACAATACATATATATATATATATATATATATATATCTCCTTTGGCAGGTCTCTTCCCCCTTTGGATTGTTTATTTTTCTGTGCTTCCATTTCCTTTTAAGCACAAACAGAAAAGAAGCCCCTTGCTCAAGGAAAGCTTTAGGGATGGGTTGTTTACTCCAGCCAGTTAGCAGACAGAGCTAATTTGCTGCTTCCCAGGTGAAGTTATTTGAAAGTCATGTCCCATATGTATAAATACCAAAGAACAGGAACCATATATATTTAGCAAAAGGGGAAACTTACCTGTGCCATTCACCTTTCAAAAATCATCCATCAACTTACACTAAACTCCTATGGCTTAGTTATAAGTTGGTGTCTGAGTGTTATAATGCTGACCATGCAGTTCATTCATGCACTGCCCACAGGCACATGTGGCTGGGTATGCACCATGGCCATGTATCAATAATGTCCTTTCATACCATCAAATTAACTAAAAAAACAAGGTTGAGATACTAAGAATAAAGTTAATCTTTTAGTTGGTAGTGACCTAGATATTTTTCAGTTGTTTGGCTTTTTTATTTCTTTTTTTTTTTCCATTGCTGAAATGACTATTGCTTCAGTTATTGTGAAAGCAGTAGACAGGGAAAATCACATTAGTGTGTGGTCATTAGATAATTTGAGATGCATTACTCTACTTTGGTTTTTAATATTGAAAGGGCTGAACTTTTTATGACATGACACAGTTTTTCTACAGATGCACCAAGAGGAGAGGTAGCACTGCTGTGCAGTGCAGTGTTCTGGCTCGTTCTGTGGGTGGCTTTGGTCAGGAAAGTTGGCAAGGGTTTACTGATGTCTGCTGATGAGATATAGATATATATATCTCATCAGCATGCAAGCTTTGTGGGTGTTACAGATCAGTGGCCTAATTCACAGTTTAATAAAGTTGGTGCTTGCCTCCCCTGCATGACCCATGAATTTGGGCGTTGGACTCATGTCTCCCTGGGGAGCCATAACAGGCACTGTAAATAACAGAGAGCAAATGGTATTTATGCCACATCTGAGGCTGTGCTCTTGTGAGGCAGGCAACATTGGCTTCCTTAGGGTAGTTTATCTATGGATTAATCGTGATGATCATTCTAAACACCATAAGAAGTAGATCTGCACAAAACACAGAAAAATGTTCAGGCCCAGGCATTTTCAGGAGTTTATAATCTAAACAGACAACACAGTACACACTGGAGGGCTCCAGGGAAGGCTCTTAAAGCATCCATCTACCCTGTAGTCTTTTGTTATCCAGAGGTGGGGCTGTAGTTTGGTATGGCACAGCAATAAATGTCAATTCTATTGCTTTCAAAATGATGAGGAGTTTAAATTTTTTGTTCAGATGCTGTCTAGGCAAATTTAACTTTGCCTTACTGTAGAAAGAGTCATTTCAGAGTAGGTCTTTCAAATGTATCTACTGCATCAGAAATGTAAATAAAGAGGCAACTGAATATTTTGGAACCATTCTGGTTTTATAAAGTGTCTGTGCTTTGCTTTATGCTGTGTATTTATGCAGCAATTAACTGTTAAAAATGAAATGTGGAGCTGCATATTTAATTTTTAACTCTGAAGTCATGTAGAGTAAGACAAAAGCAGCAAGCAGATTTTTCTAAGTGATAAATGATAAAAGTGAAAATTGTTGATACCTTTGGCAGTGGTTGATGCCTAGTCCATTACTATAAGTGTTTTTAATTCTTCTACAGAAGAGAGTGATTACATGTTTTCCAATCTCCTGTATATTTGTGCTCCTTGTCATTATACCTGAAGAAAAATGTGTTTCAAGAGCCGTACGTGTAGAAACTGTGATTTATTTCTGTGCATATAATTGACTGTATAGCTTGCTAAGCTCTAACATTTGGACTGAAATTATAGAAGGGACACAATTTCACTTCTTTGTAAACTGAGCATAGATTTTACTTGACACTTACGCCTTCACATGATCCATAGTTCTTATTTTATGAAAAAACAAAACTAACAATGACAGACACTGTTTCTAGAAACATCATTCCTTAGAAGGGCTGAAATCACCAACTTTGATTTGAGTGCCAAAGCCTGTGGTTGGTATAATGTTTCAGTAACAATTTCAGCTTATGCAAGCAAAACTTTAAAACTCCTATTATAACTGTATAATTCATATTCTATCCCTGTATAACAACCCTTTAGTTAAGTGTAGTTTGGTCCTGGACTCCTGTATACTCATGTGAGAATAGATTATGCCCTTAGTTTATAAGGCTCCAGGGGAGAAGGCGATATTCCATCTGACAGGGTTCAGTGGGTTTCCCTGCTTACAGAAAATGATGATTTTAAGGCAATAGTCTCATCCATCATTACAAAACAGCTCACAGATATGACAAAAATCTTATGAAAAATAATCTGTGGTCTAGACAATAAACTAACCAGTTTTGATGAAATCCATAAACCTTTTATATACTATATTGAAGAGCAGACCAAAGCTTTCTGGTTGTTTTGCCCTCCAAAAATACACAGAGCTTGTCTCTGTAAAAGTGGAGAAGTAACCTTTCCAATGTTACCAAAATAATTAAGTTAATGTTGCTGGATTAATATTCATTTATATGGTGTCCTTATCATGCATGCAGTTTCCATAGCTAATCTTTGCTTGTTCAGGACAATGTCCTGAAGGGGAGTGTCTTGCTAGGCACTGAAGACAGATGTGGAAAGAGAAAAACAGGAAGCTGTACAGATTGGGATATGGACAGGATATGCATGCATGCTGTAGCATGGTAATCCTGAGTGCCTTTCTCTGTGTAGCTGTGCTGGGGAAAATTCAGTTGAACAGTGCAAGCCATGGACATGACCAGCAAAACCAGAGCTGTACAGACCCATGGGTCTAACACCCTGTAGTGATTGCCACAGCTGAAAGGCTTTAGAGTGGGCTGCAGAGCTGCTCAGCAGACACTCCAAGATTAATGATTAACTGCAGAATTTATTTCCCTTCAAGTCTCTTCTGAATTTCCTAGACAAAGCTCCTTTATTTATTCAGGCTTTGCAGAAAAAGGGCTGTGCTTGTCCCTTTACTAATAATGATTTTCATAGTAAAAGCATTGCTGTGCTTGGATATTGCCATGTGTCTTCTTACAAAGTTGTA